AGGGTTCTTGTTCACTGTAGAAACAAGCTCTTTTGCATTCTCAGGACGGCATGCAACCGCAGCAAGTGTTGTTGACATTTTGTCAAGATCACTCCGGAGCCGAGTTTAAGCTGAGGTCGTCGGCTTCAGCTGAAAGAGGTATTCACCGTTCCATGACAGTGGTGTCACTTCTGCTTAAGGGTCTCGAATCGTTGGTAAGGCATGCTCTCCATGGGCAATCGAGAGCCAGAGAAACCCTAGGCAATTTGCGTTTAGAACAAATCATTCCACGTATGATGCTGTCACTTGTTGCACAGACTTTCTTCTGTCTCCATCGGATCGTCGAGGACCTGCACCAAAAGCCATCTTTATTGACTTATCATCGGTATTTGCTATTGTGCCACTCGTTGCCTTGCTCAGAACGACCTGTCCCACTGGTTAGGAGACCATATCTCAGAGAAGCAGCAGCTCATTATTGCTGGAAAGCCGCGTCCTTCCAGTATGCCAAATAACTTTGACATCCTGTAAGGCTCCTTATTGGCACCACTATTGTTAGATTTTAGATGTATTCAATTGAAATCGCCAGCCCTGACGTATCCGTTAAATACGCTGATGATATGACACTGATCTGACCTATCAGAGACGTTGTATATTCTTTGGTTACAATATGCCGTCATTGAAATTGAGCAGTGGACTGAGCTGAACGGCTTGAAGACGATGAGTAGCCAGAACTGTCATGTGACCTGTGTCGTGAACGATGACAAGTCATATAAGTTGTTGTTAGCAGCCAAAGGAAGAACAACTATTATGAATGACATAATCTCAATTAGTTATCTAGATGAGTACGTGATGGTTCGCTGAGACGCCTGTCTCGACTGGTTTGATTAGGCGATTTCTGTGTTCACCGAAATTCGGAAATGATTCCTCTACTTAATGGGAATCCTGGAAGTTTCGATAGCAGGTTCAAATCAACGGTGTTTGTCCTTTTGTGTTTGGCTGGATAATACCAATGTTTACCTATATCGACATAGTGGTTTTTGCAAGACTGCGACGAAAGGATTCTCGTATCGTTCGCAGTGTCAATAAAGTCGACCGGATGAAAGTCTTTTACCGGGCGGAATCTTCCATAGGATGTATAGCGCAGCGCGTTGGTAACTCGTTAATAAAGCGCGACAACATTCCGTTGCACTTGTAGTGCAAACGAGGACTCTTTTTTCATTCAGGCACCAGTAGCAAAGTCAACGCCATTCATGGAGCACTGAAGTTCAACGCAGTTCGACACTATCACTTTGTGTAGGATTCACAGGAAAGCCAGCAGTAGATAGCTATCACTGTAATAAGTTAGCATTCTGTACGTCCCTGGTATGGAGCTCTATATTGTTATATTAAGTGAATAATTTTCTTCTTCATGCAATCAATCATTGACAGTTTCTGTTTACAATGTTGATGTTTGTGCTGCCCTTTACATTGTATACTGGTCCCACTTTAATGCTCGAAAGCGTTTATTACAGAGAGGCTAGAATTTTCATAAAACCGAAATTACGTGCCATTATTGTTGAGGCCGTTACGGCTGTTGTATCCAAAAAATCCTTTCCAGTTTTCAGTGTCTGTTCCGATATGTTCATCGAAGTCCGCTATCAGAATAATGAAGTGTGTAGGAAGCACATCGTGCATGCCTCTTTAACTTCATCAATGAAGGACGCATCTTCTTTCTCTGAATTTGGAGCACAGACTTGTGACCTGGCTGAAGCATTCGTCTATTACGACCTAAACAAAAGGACTGCTACTCTTCCGTTGATGGGTTCCACTGAAGGTTTATAAGATCTGTTGCAACAGTAATCAAACGTATGAGCGAAAAGTTTTGTTGTCATTATGAAAAACAAGGAAGTACTTTTCGGCGTACAAGACAGGAAAACGAACTTAAAAAATGTTTATGCATGGTTATCGCTAAATGATTTCGGTTAATCCTGGTGACTGAGCAAAATATCAAGTTGACAGATAAAAATAGAAGGAAACATCCATAGAAATCTCAAACGGCATCTTAAGCCTTAGATATTAACTGAACATTTCATGACCGTGCAATTTTCTTATGCCCCGTCTCACCTAATGTCGAATGAACATTTGTCCAGCGTGAAAAACGAAAAATGAATTTTCCATATGATTCCCTAGTGAAGAACATTAAACGTTGCATCTTTCTCTCCTTAACGAACAGAGCCGCCATGCTTTACAAAACACTCTTAAGCATATTACGTAAATCATTTACCTCAGAACGTGTAGGAACATCGGTTTGAACCCATTGCAGAAGTACACAAGACACTGTGCTATTTACAATCATAACAAATTAACTAGTACTCGAGACATCGTGTTCGTGCCCCTATGACAACAACTGCGTCATGTTTATTCCGTACGTTGGCCTTACATGCTGGTCCAAATTATCAAAAAGTACTATTAGGTACTTCGCTCAGCGCACCTAGTGATTTCAGAAACTAGGGAAATCTAGAGAAATCAACTTGCCTGAATTGTGAATGCCGTCGTCTAGATTTACGTCGAAATTCCTCATTAAACTCTAGAAGACTGCAACCAAACTGCATAAAAAATTCATATTCAATTCAAAAAATTCAATTATATTCACATTCTATAGCATAAGCAGCTTTACTGCAATTCTAGTCAAACCAGTATTATCGCTGACCGACCCTATCCGCCCTTCCCTTTTGTCAATTTTCGTTTCCTCGCCAATGAGAAATTACGTCGAACACAGCAAGCGTTTTGCTAACCGGTTTGAATGATATTACTATTATGCCATCACCTCTGCAACGGAAAAGCGAGTCTGCGAAATGAACAGCAGAATAAAAATGGTATGGAACACTTTTGGAAGACTGAAAACGTTATCAGAGAAACTATCCTTGCGCTTGAAACAATGTTCCCGATAAGTGTGTGCTTTCAGTGCTAATGCGGATGCTAAATATAAATCTTGTGCCTGAAAGCTGTTCATAAATTGCAGACTACGCAAGGCAGCACAGAAAGAGGTATGCTGTGAATAACAAGAAAAATAGGAATGCATGGGGAAGAGCACAAACAAGAGTCATTTTTCGAGAGAAGAAACTTAAGTAGCAATTGGCAGCATAAGTTGCAAGAATAACCAATCATCGCTGATCAAGAGAGGCTGGGTTCCAAGAAAGAGTAAACGGAGCGTAGGAAGACTTCCAGATCGACGACAGAATGAGCTGGAAGAGTTCGCTAGCACAGAACCTTTCGACAAAGCCTTGGAGAGGAATTTATTCTGCAGCGGATCAAAAAGCTGATAATGACAAATTATGAAATCTGATTCACTGCTTGAAGATATATCAACTCAATAATTTCAATACAGATCATTGTCTATTTATTATAAATGACGCCTGTTAAGTTATAGCACAAGCGAAAAATATGAAGTTGTATAAATACAATATCAACATGATGTTATGCGTGGCTGCTTCAACGCAAATACACTTTTCAGTCCTAACGGTAAAAATACAAAGTTATTTCATTTTACCGACCTACATCAGACCAATGCACCGTCTTCTCAATGCGTAGGGAAAGTAGGCAGGCCAGAGCTCCAAGGAACTTTGGACTGAACCTGAATCAAACTCTTCTGAAATGAAGAAAAGAGTCAAACTTAGACACAAAAGTAACTTTAAACATCAATGAAGTCAGGTTGCTACGGGTGAGAGATACCATGCTCGCATATGTACCAAAGACAACGCATATCACGGTCATTAAACAAGACCGGAACCGCATCAGTCACATTTTCGACCGCTGATTCGATTACGACGTTCGCCGGAGTACAGGTAGACGATGACGCGACCGCAGTGCAGGTGACCAAGTTAGCTGGCAACGTTGAGACTTGATCCACGTCTTCATCTAAACAGTAGAATTATCACAACAGTATTAGGAAGCGTTCATTACGACTAGTGGCTGGAGTGACTAATCCATTAGGAACTGAGCTGGAAGAACAATCCAATCTATTTGGAGATGCAAGCTTTCTTTTTGGCATCTCTTCGTGTACCTCTTTGGCATGACGGCGATCACTGATGAAACGGAAAATCAATTAGTAAACAGCAAAAACCAATTACGGGTAATTTTTAAAACTTTTTCCACGAGACAAATAACTACTAATTATATTTGTCCAGCAGAGTGAAAAATAGTTTCAATTAAAATATTAAATCACATTCCTTTCAAGGACAGAATTATGAAAAAGTAATCATCCAACAGTAGAATGGTATTCATTAAAAGCCTCACCAAAATATTCAACTGAAAAAATTAATTAATACATAAATTACATATCGTTCCTTCTACCCTTTAGCATGGATCAGCTTAATTGTGCACCAATGAACTAGGTTCAAGGAAACTTTTCAAATTACAATACCATTGTAGTAGATCAAAGTTTACCCTAAATCTCATTATGCGCTTAGAAACTAATGAATGAAAATCTGTTGCTCGAAAGGCAGCGTTAAAGAACTTTGTCATTCAGTTTCGATGACTGCTCATCCTTTCGGGCAATGGAGGCAGACATGTCACAGAGTGACTGCATCGTTTCCGATCCTGTTCCAGCATTTGATACTTGGAGCAGGCGTGTCGAAACGCTTACTCCAGTTAATCTTGGTCGTCCCCCAAGGTCTTCGGTAGTTCGGTTGGGCAAGCAGCAGATATTTCGCCTTCCTTGTAGAAAGCATTCGCAATACGTGCCCAAATCATAACAGCTGGGACTTCTCAATCTGAAGAAGCAGCAGCTGTACATCAAGACTCTCACGGAAACTTGTATTCCGAACCATATCGAGATGCATAAGGGCAGCGACTCGTCTCAGATGGTCCATTTCTGCCCTTGCAGCCGGGTTCGAAGTTTTTCAGCGATGGTCCACGATTCATGACCGTAGGTAAGTATGGGGATAAAGATCGACTAAAATAACGAGAGCTTAGTTTTCAGACTCAGCTCTGCTTTAGTCACAGTGGGTCGGGCTGGTTCACCAGAACGCCACTGGCTGCTCCAATTCGCCGGTCGATATCTTCCTCCAACTTTCCATCACTAGTAAATACAATTCCGAGGTACTTGAACTTCTCCGCCTGTTCCACTGCCTCTCCGTTAATCTGAGGAGAGCCACGGCCAGGAGAACTAGAAAGCAGTAAGCTTTTGGTTATAAATGCGCTCACACGCATTCCGGCAATGTCACTCCTCTACTAACCTCTTCAGAAAACGCCGGAGTTGAATTTCTGAAGATGTCAATAAAACAAAATCGTCTACAAACAGCAACCTTCTCGTTGTGTATAATGACAGAATGGCCCATAGCAATCCATGCTTATAGATTGCCCCCCCCCC